CCGGTCCGAAAAGCGGTTGTCAAAGTCCCCGTCCCGACCCCGGGGGACGCGCGTGAGGGGATGGAGCCACGCTGCAGCGGGTGCGCTCGGGTGGCATCCTCATGCTCGGCGTGAAATACCTGGAGGTCGGCCCGTGTAACCGCGGGGTGCTCGTATCTGGGCGTTAACGTTCACGGCTTTTCGCTCATCTTGCTGCGGTTGGTAGTACTTTGCTCAGACTGCGTGTATTTGTTCCAGTCCTGGTACTTGGAAAAGTGTGTTATTGAATGCATCTTGTCGTGAAGTACACATTAACCGGGTGAGTATGGATCTGACAACGTGCTGCTGTTGGGTGAATGTCCTTCTGCTTCGGAGGTGTAGAATAGCTACGAATAAGTTGCTTCCAGGAATAGCATTTTGAAAAGGAAATCTGTGATCCACTGTGTATTAGTCTGAGATGCTGGATACAGCAGAGTGGAAAGAAAACACAATCAAAATCTTTTTAAAATGAAGTATTTCCCATGAAAATACAAAAGTTCAAGCAACTGAGACTTCAGAGTAGCGTTTGCCTAAACAGATATGCTTTCAAGACTTATATTTATCCTGTTGTAAATTACCATTCTGAGAATTTTCAGATAAAACGATCTATATAAAAATTGAAGGACAACATGGAAAATCAGAGTCCCGTTCAGATCCATGATTCTCTTGTATGTCTGTATGTGGAAAAATGCCTCTAAGATGCACTTTCTGCACATCTGCAGAAACACATACATCAGCTGTATCGTGATGGTCATGTTATATTACTGAGGTGAGGTTACAATTGACAAGCGTGTTTGAAGTGGTGGATTTGGCAAACTGATTGGCTTTGATAAGAAAATCCCATTGCGATATTCCTGCATTTTCTTCTCCCATTCTTGTGTACCACCCGAAATGCTCTGAACTGTCAGACCACCATTTAAACTTCCTGTCTGAAATGATCAGGAGAGAAAAAAAATTAACTTCCTGAGATTGGAAAAGGTCGGTTTTAACCTTGAGCATTTCAGTGATGAAGATTAGTGTTATGTGAGTGGGCAGGCAGTGGCAGGAACACATGGGAGTGGTGACGAGGACGGCAACTTCCATAGGTAGTGAATCATAGGTACCCTCAGGCATTCCTGGAAGCGTAGTGAGCTGCAAAACCTATGCTGGACCTGGAGGCAGTTACTTGAATGCAGTGATTTGTTACTTCATGGGCAAGAGTACTGAGCAAGTAGTGTACTGAGGACAAATTCAGACTATGTTTACTGTGGTAACTTTGGCTTGTGGCTGCAAGCAGCATCTGGCATATTAACGGCAGTGTGCTTGCTATGTGTGAGCTCTGGTGTGCAGGCTACTCGTGACCTTCGTGTACCTGCAGTGACTTTGCTGTTAGTATGTGAACTCTGGCTTTCTTGATTGTATTTCTGAATTGCAGTGTATACTATCAGGTGGTTTGTAGTCATTCTGTAGTTGTACTTGAAGCAAGCACTTAAAACATATAACACATATAGCACTTGATTTAAAATATTGTGTGTCTAGCTCTTTCAGATTGCTCCACAA